ACAATCACACAAACAATCACATGATTGTGCGGTAGGACTGCGCAGTCAGACCTTGCAGCTGACGGCTTTCTGAATGGAACTGTCAGGCAAGTAGCCATTTATGTGGCTCTAACCGGTACACATCCTCAAGCTCAAGCTTCTGAAGCCCTGGAACTTGGCGCCAAATGGAAAACTCCCACACCTCCGGTAAGGGGGCTCGCTGATTGGTGGAAGATGAAGCAGGATCCGCTTCCTGGCCTTCTGTCTTGCGCCTTCAAGCAAGAGGTGGCGATGAGGGTTTACGGCTTAGGGGGATTCTCAGTCGGCTTGTGGGCCAATGAGCGTTGAAATTAGGGACCCTTCAAGGGAGGATACGGAGTCCAGCGGGGGGCCAGCCGGCTACCAGGCAGAATGCCAGGCTAAGACGTTGTGATGCAACTGATTGCACATGGTTGTGAAGGTCTCAGGGTTTAGGGGTGCCGAGATGAAACTGCAGGTCTGCCCTGTGGAGTCCAAAGGCCGAAACACAATGTAGTTATCATCTTGGTCAGAAAGCCCTTTGCTGAACATCCTGCTGTTGAATTTGGCAAGTATCGGCATCGACTTTGTGCAGCTTCTCTCACTTGAAGCTGCAACCCCTCCACGAACTAGCCCAGACTTGAAGTAGGAATTCAGATAGTGCCGTTTGGGAGATGACATCTGGCAAAAAGCCTGAATAAATAGCAGTACTACTCACTTATAAGCCTTAGGTCATTCTAGTATAACATACGCCGCAGCCCCTATTCTGATTGTTACAGGTGGGATGTGGGTAAACTTGGCAGTAGCCTTCGCGTAGCCACGGTCTGAGCAACATTTCATGAGCCCTTGTCTCAACTCCTAGTATCCCCCTTAACAACCCCTATAGTACTTCCTTATCCCCTATATGACCCCTTTAACTTTAAGGAGTTCAGACTGTGGCTCATGGAGTTTAAAAACATGGGGTCCTGGTTTGTGGCTTGAAGACTGTGAACCATCGCTTCACGTGCATACACGGGAAGCTGGATTTTTCGAAGCACCCATCTAAGCCCTCCAAGAGAAAAGGGGTCACCACAAAACAATTTCAGACAAGCTGCTCTGCAGCAAGCTGCCACTTTTGGGCCCCTTGCGGTCCGAAAGGAATGCGCATCACCTGCATGTAGGTTTTCCTAGTGTTGTTGTTGCTGCTAGGTTTTGGGAGCGTGGGATTAGGATGTGAAGGTTCCGGATTTGAGCTATAGTCTAAACTCCTAGTATCCCCCTTAATAACCCCTAAAATACTCCCCTATATCATCCCTGTAAAGTGTTTAGGCTATAGCTCATTGGAGGTGCTAGAAGCCAGGGCTGGTGGTTGACAAGTTGACGCAGTCACTGCACACCTGGAGCCTATACCAGAACTCCAATGTACTTGCTCTGGATCGCATGTCTCTGACTTAGCTCCAAGGCCCTGCACTTAGGAAAGCTTAAAGCCCCTCAGAGCCTGAACGCTATCTGAAGTTGACTCCTGAATCAGGTGCATGGAGTTCCCTGTAATGGAAATTTCCAGGAGCACTGCCTTTGAAATACCCTGCTGCTCGAAGTCCGAAAGCTTCGTGGTGAGGCTTTGAATCCTTGGCTCGCTCCATGTTCGAAGATGGTTTGGGTGCTTCTGGGTTTTAGGTTTCGCAGTTTGGGTTTAGGGTTGGGTGCAAGGTGGTTAGGGTCAAGGACTTTTTTAGGGTTCTGCGCTTTGCTTGGTGCTTAACCGGGAGCCGGGGTGTGCATACATGTAGCCCCTTGCTGGATGGATTAAACTATGCGAGTTACCTAGGGCTAGGGCCTGACGGGACCTAGAAAGCAGATACCTTGATATGGCACCCCCAAAAATACTATATCCCCTTAAAAAAGGTTCCAACAGAGATCCAAATATTGGGGCCCTTAAAAGGAAGGGGTTTACTCATCCGGGGTCTACATTATACTTTCCAGATCCTTGCATGGGGTCTGGCTATGTATTCTTCTTTTGGCTCCAGGCATGCTGCGAATTGAAAATCGCATCCAATGGCCCAGCTCTGTCGGGCACGCCCGAGGTCGAAAACTCTCGATATGAGCTAGAGTCTAAACTCCTTAAAGGGGTTATACTATATGTGGATACTTGGAGTTTAGGCTAAAGCTCATACAACATGCAGCCCCAGACCCCTGGGCCGATCTAGAAAGTAGATCCAGCTCATTTGTTCTTTCAAATTACCCGAAAATATTAGCGGGTACCGTATTGGAGGCTCTACTTTCTAGATCCTCCCACGGGTCTGGGGGGAATAGCAACCAAAATTTCCATGGAGACGCAGCTTAAGCGGGATCGGATTTGACTCTTTTTGTGGTTCCTGGCCAAACAATTTCAAACTTCAAGAAACATGAGAACAACAACCAACAATGAGCAGTTCTTGTATCAGGTATAGAAACACGTGTTTAGTGTTAATCTCAAATCATGAGTCAGAAATGAACAGGTACTCTTCTTGAGGACTCTTTGTCGATGACGTGACTGGTTCGTGTCGCTGCTTTGCAGGTTGACTTGCGACAGCTACCAATGTCAAAGAATCACCCTTCCTTTGCCAGCTGTTAGTCCTAAGGGGTCTGGGCTGAGCCATACAAAGTGTTTCTGCGTTTTGATTTGGTACCCACCTTAACTAAGACCAGTATTGGGTTTGATTATGTAATGGGAGCAGACGCCATCGAGCTGACAAGGATCTGCGAAAGGTTCGGGATGGGAAGCCGCACGTAGCGCGTCCTCTCCATCATGAGGCAGGGCGCGGGGTGCTGACTCTTGCTGCAGGGTTCACTGTCTGCTCAAATGCGGCCTGGTCATCAATGGGTCTGCAGCTAATCCCCTGTCCTTTCTCTGGACTGGTTTCAGAAGGCACAGGACAAGGACCACAGTTGCATTTAGCAGTTGTTGTTGGCTGAGGCAAAAGGCATACTCTTCAGTGCTGGGTTCGTGCCATAGGCCTACTTGAAGAAGATGAAGAAGGCAATATAGTACATATTCTCACAAGATTTTAGGCCCAAAGCAGGGGCCATCTTCTTTCACAGGGGACAAAAGTATCCCCCATGAAAGATATTTCGGAGGACTCACAAATTTGCATGGCCTTGGTATACTAAACTACCATGAACCTCAGGGTATAAGAATGTATAGGGTACATAGGGTCAACAACATCAACAATACTTCAGTCCCTAAACCCTTAATCCCTGAACCCCTGAATCCTTAACCCCTAAACCCTAAAACCTAACCCCTTAACCCCTAAACGGATTAAGGGCAACTGGGAAAGCTCCTGAGGCGCACTCCGAAGCTGTGAGATGCAATGGACGCATACCTTGGCAATCACTCACTGGGGGTTTAGGGCTCAGGGTTTAGGGCTCAGGGTTTAGGGTTTAGGGTTAAAGGTTAAGGGGGAGCGGGGGAATGAACATCGGGATTATTATAGGGGTAGACATGGGGATTATATAGGGATTATCTTGGGGTTTAGGGGGACTTGGGGAATGAATATAGGGATCATTATCGGGGTAGATGTGGGGATTATATAGGGTTTATTTTAGGGATCCACTCCCCAACTCTCCTGTAAGCACCAGTAAAATCAAGGATGTCCGTAATGCAGAAGCCTGGTTTGCCCGTACAGTATGTGGGTACTTCCGAAAATTAGGGTCTGATTTTGTTGCCCCTAAATATTAGGCGCCGTAATGAATAGATTCTATACCCCAAAGGGGACCATACCCATAATTTTGAGAATAACCCATATAACAGTTGTAAAAGGATCGTAAAGGGATGATTTAGGTTGTTGTGGAGACTACTACATTAATCGATTTCGTGCTTTTCTTTCGTTGCATCAATCGAACCGCGCAGAGGCGGCCGTGTTCACTTTTTGCTTCTTTCGGGCCCCTCTCCTCTGCAGGTTGTCCTCGTTTAGGGTCTCCGGCTTCTTCATCAAAATACCCCTTGACGACGCTACATTCCCGTGTACTCTTCAGAAAAGGGCCCCCGAACGGAGGTGCCGCAAATACGGCAAGTGAGTAAAAAGAGCTACAGGAGCTATACTCTAAAGTCCTTAAATGGGGGTTGGATAGGGGAGTGTTATAGCGGCTATAAAGGGGGATACTACAAGTTTAGACTGTAGCTCACATGGGGTTCCCATGTTTGCTTTCATTATGGTACTTCTTGCAGCTGTAGGTGCATGCTGAGCCAGACAGCCAACAGGAGGTACACAAAGGAGGCAGCCACCGTCAGGAAATACCTCAGCTTGTCTCAAAGCTTTACACGGATCCTGTAAAGATACACAAGGGATGTATACCCTAGTTGCACTTCCCCTTCACCTACAGCGTTTTGGTCGTAATAATTCCTTGGTGTGATGCTAAGAATTCAAATTCAAATGAAAGTAATTCCTTTGGAGGACCCCCCCCACCCTGTAACAGTGACTATAAAGGATAATAGAAATTATATTAGGGTCCTCTTATATTCTTATTATACCACTATTACAGGGTGGGGGTTCCTCCTAAGTAATTCCAAAGGAGACTACAAGCAAGGATGCGCTCCATCTTCAGAACTGCAAGTCTCTGAGTCCTGAACCCTCCAGACTCTATTGCGCCTTAGGTAGATAGAATATGAGGTAAATGGGGATCTTATTCTAATATACACAAAGCCATATTCTATCTAATTACTTATGGGCCTTATGGCGGACTATAAACCCCCTTGGTCGTTTCCAGACAAGGGGTTTCCCTGAGTGTGGCCCTCAACGTTAAGGCGTGTAATTCTTGTACCCGTAGCACGAGAAGACTCACAGCCCGGAACCCAATTATTGAAAAACATATTGACAATATGAGTACGCATTCTTGATACACTAGAGCCATTTGTAATAATAAGAGAAATATTCGTATTGATCTGCTAAGAATAGTTTTAAGAATAGGAATGATAATACTTTCAACATGCAAAGACTAATGCCAATACTAAGACTAAAACTAATGCTAATTTGCCGGCAAGACGCAGGCCCATGAAGAAAGGCGGCTGGGGTCCCTGAATGATGCCCTCGCAGTATACGAGGGCGGTGAAACTAAGGAAGAGCGCCCCAACGATGTGATACATATCCTCGGTTTAGGGTTTAGGGGCTTGGGGTTCTGTTGGCACGTGCAAATCACAATCCTGCTTTTGCTTGCGGCCCTTTCGAAATCTTTAGATGAGGTTTGGATTGGGCGACCTACTTTGATTCTGCAGATCCTCCAAAACTGATCCCAGGGAGTATAGATTTTAGATCGTACGGGTTCCCTCACCAGCCAAGGCTACACTGCCCCAAAGGTTCCTACTTCATTCGCCTTATTGAACAATAAAGATTCAGTTCGGTATGAGGTCTACACTCGCAAGCCTCAAGCCCGTTGGGGTCACAGTTTTGAATCAAGGTCCCACAAGGGCAAGAGGCCCAGGGATAACATCCGCTATCAACCCATCTTTCTCCGAGGAGCCAGACACAATTACCTCTAGAAAGCTCTATGAGAAATTTTCAGTTTCATCACTTGCTAGACAACAAATGCAAGGCTTGCCTGGTGAGGGTCTGGGTATTCAACATGTGCTGACTCTTGCGTGCTGCGGCTGCAACATACAAGTGCCTTGCTTGCAGTACATGCCACAGACGGGATGCCACTGATGCAGTGGAGTGGATCCAAGCCGTTCCCGTTTGTACCCTCATCCCTGAGCCCTAAACCCTAGTGTGTATATATATATGTATATGCATTATACACATGGTAGTTTCCCAAAATAGTGGGACCCCAATATAGACCCCAAAATTCTATTATGGGGACCCCAAAAAGGGTACCCCCAATATTGGGAAACTCCCATATCTAATGCCCGAAGTAACTCTAAACCCTACATATCCCTGTAACTGGCAGAGTCTCCATCTTGTCAACCGTGAGCTTTACCTGGGCGGCTTTCCAAGGGAGAGGCTATACGGCGGGTACTAAACATCCTGCATGACCCTAATTACCGTAAACCTTGGGAATTATTTTAAAATAGTATACTGAGGTCATGCAGATTGTTAATATCAACAGTATCTTGGGGTCTATATAACCTGGCGGTCTCTTGCTCCAGTTTTAACTTAACCAATATCTCTGTATACCACGGGAAGGATCCCTATCAGAACAGCCACCCCCCTGCAGTTGTAGCACAATAGGAATATGGGGGTTTCGTGAAGCTGGGGGTACCTTTTTTGAGGGTCCCCATAATGAAGATTTTAGGACATTGGGGTCTATACGTCCTATACCATGTAAGAAGGCCAACATAGTCACCGCGATTCCTTCTAGTCACAATTATTGGGTCGGGGGGAGTCCACCTGACTAAGACACCATAAAACAAACCCAAGCCAACCTGGTAAGCTCATTGGCACATAAATTTTGAATCGGTTTAAGATTCTTTTTGCAAGACCTCTTTTCGCCCGCTGCATGAACGATAACGGTTTAGGGTTTAGGGTTCAGTGTTGCCGGGCTGAACCATGTAGGCACATATATGTATACTCACCAACGCTGCCACGCAATCCCTTAGGCTTCTAACATTCTTACTATCGGGTCTCACCAAAGCTTTTGATGAAGTCCTGTCCCATGTAAGTCATAGTCTAAACTCCTAGTATCCCCCTTAATAACCCCCCTATGTAATCCCCTATATAACCCATTCTAAAAACCCTACACCATAAACCCAAAACTGTCAAACCCCCAAACCCTATATATATATATATGTATACACACGTATAAACCCCTTTAAGAAGCGTGGTGTAAGAGCTAGGGCCAGGCTGCTAGGTCCTCAATGTCTTCACGGAAGAGGTCGAAACGCTCGATCTGCATCTCAACCCTGGCATCCATGAGGTCATATGAGTAGTGCTTTTTTGGTGGTTGAACCTAGTATGATAATATTCCTTATATAGAAAACTATACCCAACAGGAGGATATCTTACTCTATATTGGGTACCATAGTATCCCCAACTAAAATACTGCTCATATAGGGATAGTGGAACAGAAAATGGACACTACAGGGATTATAGGGGTTACTCAACGATGAGGTTGGCGGCTGCACAATCCCAGATTGAGCTGTCTTTCACCCATCACGCGCCCAAAGACCCCAAAGCTCTGCTCTATCATCAACAAAAAAAGGCACCCCTTAAATCAAGCTTTGTGAAGCAGGGAACGGAACTGTCGGAGAGGGCTATTGGGCTTGCTGTTCTAGGCATCCTTTCCTTCAATATCTGCTAGCGAGACCACTAATCCGCAAACTCTCTAAGGCATCACTTGTGGGAGTCTTCTGGAAACTACACACCTCACAACTATCGACCACCAGTTGGCTTTACTAAACTCTGCACCATACAGACCGTAACCCTGAATCCCCCGCCTTTGCATATCTCTCTCCAGGCGCTGCTCTTGGTCGAACTTGTAGTTCTCTCGGTTGTAGTCGAAGAGCTCCTGAACTCACCGATGCTAGGGGGCTTAGAAAGGCAGAAGCAGTCTTAGACTTACTGGTGCTTCAGGGGGAGCGCGATTGGATGATAGCGATTCCTATACAACCCCTTAAAATTACTCGCCCCTCTCTCCCAAACACCAGTAAGTAGAGTCAGGAATTGTCCGGGCATGTTCGGAATCTTAGGTTTGAGCGCCCCTTAAAACTGAGAATCCTGTCAATGGCCCTGGGGTCGTAAGCGATGAGGGGCGAGATGAGACATACTCTTATTCTGTAGATAGAACTTGGAGGGTATATATGGATCTTGCTATGATAGAAATAGGGGTCTAACCTTATTTTGTAGATAGACTGTGGAGGAAATATGATAGAATTTGGGGTATATGGTAGTTTCCCTTAATATGGGGACCCCAATATAGACCCGAAAGTTACTATAATCCTGATTGTAGGGACCCCCAAAAGGTACCCCTAAACCTAAGAAACTTCCGTGTAAAGCTGCTGGGAACTTGAGGCTTCGGGCTTAGGGTTGGGCTCTGCCAGAAAAATGCAGTCGATTTTTCCTCGGCTTGCAGAATACCTGGGAAGCATCTACCTTCAATCCTACAATGATAGGTAGGGTGTATGGCTTAGGAGTTTAGGGTTTAAGGGTTTAGGGGCTTAGGGTTTTCACTGACTCTCAGTTCATAAGCCCTACAACCCAAAGCCGACCTGAAGCCACTAAGTTGAATCCAAACATTTATTTCATGAGTTCCCTTCTACCCTACATATACTATCCCCCCCCAGGTTCCCACTTAACTAACCTAGCGAGGACTAGTAGCAGGGGAACCTGCAAGTTACTACCTCCCCCTAGTAACACATAGTCCCATTGCCGTATAAGTCCTATACCTTCTTGGTAAGATTTCAAACAAAGGGAAAAGGAATATGCTGAAGCTTGTGCCTTGGAGGCCAGGCCAAATGCTTCGAGCAGCACCATGGCTTCGGCTCCCAAGTTGTTCAAAAGATACCAAAACACCAAGAAGAGGAGGGAGCCACTCTGGGCCCAGCAGCTGCCTTTTTTCTAAGGGGCTTGGGTGCTCATGAGTTGGAAGTGTGTGGGGTTCTAAGAATCCCAGGTATTCGAAGTGCGATTCGCCTCACGAGGAAGTATGCTTCATCATAGTTAGTTTGCTGACCCTGACATTGCTCCCAAGCACGCCCTGCCGTGATTTGGGCCAGAAACCAATCAGGACATGCTGGGTTCAGCCGTGCACCCCGAAAAAAAGGTAGGAATGATGTGGGGTTTACAGAGCTCACGTGCGGGCATGGCTTTTTGGATGGGAACTCCTGAAGTTGAGTCAAGGTTCTCGGTTTTGTTGGTGAGACTTCAGACTCCGGAGCAAAAAGCCCGTAATGTGGACGTTGAAGGCATAGTTGAGGCAGTGTATACCCAAGTGATATAGCAACTACGAGGGAAGATTGCCTGCTTCTGTTGGGTTGTTGTGATATGAGCTATAGTCTAAACTCCTACTATCCCCCTTAAGAGGCCTGATAATACTCCCCCATGGCATCTCATATATAACCCCCCTTAAGGAGTTGAGACTATAGCTCATATATTCTCTAAGCGCTGAACCCCATCCCAACTTCGCAAACTCCCAGACCTCCCTTGAAACCTGAATTGCTTCTGATGGGATCCCGAAAAGAGGCTGCGGACCCACAACCCTAAACCCTAAACCTTAAACCCCTAACCCTCAACCCCAAACCTTAAATCATTAACCCTAAACCCTAAGCCCTAAGCCCACTGTTCACAAAGTTGGGAACCTCCAGACTTTCTTGTGCGAAAATCCGTTTTTGCACCCTGCTGGTTGGAACTTTGAGGTTGGGATTTTTTCGGGCTCCCAATAATGAGTTTGGGGGTTTCCGAAAATTAGGGGTACCTCTTTGGGTGTCCCAATAATACGGTTTGTAGTATTTTGGGGTCCCTGTTTCTGGAAACCACCATCTGCTTGCTGATTCGAACCTCAGAGGCTGGGATTTTCGGGCTGAAAGGCTTTCAACATCTTGGGCTCATGAAATAACGGTTCAGGATCTAAAGAATATGGGCGTTTGCCCCAAGATAAGGCTACCATGTTGGGAGCCCAACAATAAGGATTACAGCATTTTAGCGTCCCCCTATGTCTGGAAACTACCATATCTGGTTGCTGAGGTTAACGGAATGCTGGTCACAAATGGAGCTTTGCCTCTTTTTGCTAGGAATGAAGGAATGGATCCTTATAGTAGGTCCTACAACCCCAGTATAGTAGTTTCCATTTTCTGTTCCATCATCCCAATATAACCCCCAATATTACCCTAAAACCACCTAAACACTACAATCCCTATAACCCCTATATGCCCTAAACCCTATAAACCCTATTATCCCTATCATTCCCAGCAAACCAAAGGCCTCTTTTCCTCTCCGTCCCGGAGAGATGTCTCCCAACTGACCTTGTCGGCCTGGAGGCCTCCCACCAGAGCAATCCCAATGGGGGGGCCTCAAGCAAGCTCCTTCGCATAAGTTTAAGGATTCTGGCTCAGGATGCAGGGCTTAGAGGCTTCGTTCTAAAGGTTAGGGATTACGTGTCAAGGCCCTGGAAACCAAGAAGTCAAATCCGTTTACATCACACGGTCCTACCGACACTTGCAACCTCTGCTTGCAATCTTTGCATTCCCATCTCGTCCTAAGGCTTTTGACAGGATACCCGATGCCCGTCTACACAAACCCCTATACCCTAAACCACGGGCGGGTGATTCAGGCAAATACTACCCCGATACTCAAAGCGCAAAGCCCTAGATCCTCCAAGGCAAACCCCAGACCCTAGTCTGAGGTTGAAACCATGGGCCCCTAGTATGGGCCCTTAACCCTGGGATCCTTCTATACTTACTATATACGCTATATGTAACCTACATCTTACCTCAGACGCGAACTGGCACCCCCAAAACCCTGCATCCTATAGCAGTGCTTTTGCAACTGAGATCCCTACTCCCTCCCCCGCAGGGCCATGCTTAGGGGTTTCTCAAAATAAAGGGTACCTTTTTGGTGGTCCCCATAATCAGGACTAGAGTATTGTGGGGTCTATATTAGGGTTCCCTTATTTACAGACATTACCATTTCTTGACCTTGGGCTCTGAACCTACAAAGAACCTCCGCAAAACGGGAGCATGATGGTAAGCAAAACCTCGTGAATATGCAAGCTCAGCTTAGGGCCCAGTAAGCCACTGCGTGTCTGTACACATGCAGAGTCTTGCCTCTTCTTAGTATGGAATGCAGGAATGGCCTAGGATTTATCGATGAGCGTTCAGCTCGAGGCTTAGAGCTATAGATTTGGGCTGAATGAAGGTTTAAGGTCTACATGGACTTCACTTTGTTTCCATCTTCTCTTCCATTCTTTAATTCCCTACTAAGGCGAGGCAAGGAATAGGCTCCGAAGCTTTACTCCGCAGAAATTGCCGTGCCTTTGGCACATTGTGGGCTTTTTAGGAGGGACCGTGAAAGCCTAGGTCCTAGGTAGGTATAGTATGATACGCTAGTGTAATTCTGAACAACGATGAGATACCATTGATACTCAAAGCCTGCACGAATCCAGTGTACTATGATTCCATAACTTGCAAGTTATTCATACAGGGTTTGTGATATCAGCATGAAGCTAAACCTGAATCCCTCGTACTCCCTGGTCATAATTTGGGTTTTCCCTACCTTGCTGAGAGCCTTTCTTTGGCGGTTCACCCTCCCCAAACAAACGTGGAAGCCCATATGAGCCATAGTCTAAACTCCTAATTTCCCCCTTCATAACCTCTATGCGAAGCTGGGTCCAGGTGGCACC